TTTATGTTCACACGCCGCTTGCTTTCTGGAATTATGGTATACAGAACGCTGGTTTCGCAAATGCCAGTCTACGCCTTCTCTGACTTAGTAGATGTGATATCCGGCTATCGATCAAAGGTCGTGTATACTGCTCAATAGTCCGCTCCATCCTCCTTTATGGCTGTGAGAGCCGGCCATTAAAGACATGAAAAGGCCGGCTAGCTAGCTATCTTTGATGATAGGTGCCTGCGTTCTAACTCCTGTGTTAAGTGGTGGTATAATGAGGTGAGCAATATTGAAGTGAGGCATCTATCGAGTACTAGTTAGGGAGGGGAAATCAGTAATTGAGGCCCTGAAGTTAGGACATATGGTAGGCATGCATGACTAGCCATCGATCGCCTTTCTCGTCGGGCGATGTTATCTAACATAGAGTTGATGCATCAGGTTGGAAAAGACCTAGCCATTGGTGATAGAACCAAAACGTGGCTTCATCACAATGAAATCCACAACAATTATTTTAAACCAGCCAGGCACGTGGGGAAGTGTAGACTTCCTCATTGGTTGGTCGGGTTCCTCGGGATGGTAAGAACCTGTGAAGGCTGGAGACAATTGGTGATATGGCTGGTTCAAAGTGATCATTCTCGGTGATGGGTGGTTGGCGCAGATGCATCCACTCCCTGTGACTTATAATACCCAATAAAACTTGTTTTTTGATACTACTATTCTTTATGCCTTATGTCTCTGTTTACTGTCTCTGTTTGCATTTCTTTTTACTTTCTTTTCTTGCTTTGTGCTCTTAGTGGTGTGGCCACTCGAACTGCTGCACATGGTTGCAAAGTTCTACGTTGAGACCAGTCAGTCAGGAGTTATGGCAGTGACAGTGAAGCGATAGAGTGACTAGTTATTTACCAATTGTTATTGTCAAACAGTGGCTTCAATTTACATATCCTTGTTCTAGCCAGTGCTTGAGCGCTTCGGTAATCTTAATTTAGTACATCACCAACATCCTGTTGCGAAAATGGTAGTCAAGAGTTTGACAGATTTCGGAACGCAAATTTATTAGTTTTGCTACACATGCTTGCAGGAGACGTTTGATTCTATCGATAGTTGTGGCGATTTCTAAAAGTACTGATAAAATATATTATGCTAATGAAAGTAGTACTCGAATAAATTAGAGTGTCCATGTAGGACAGTTTCTCAAAGCGTTGAAAACCACTGGTATACTGCAACACTCTCCCTCATTGGCTCCTAGGTTGAGATTACAGAGTGGAATAGTTGCATGCGTTGACCATATTTTCATTAGAGATAAACTTGTTGCTGACAAAATATCAACATGGATACGGAAGGTTTATTCAGTATTTGTAAAGTCACATAATCTCTGGTGGTGGCGTGATATCCAGCTACTTACCAAGGAGTGTCTGTGCTGCACACTACTTCTGTTGTATCATACTGTACAGTCGAGAATTGTCTCTGGGATGTAGACATAAAATACTCGAGGTACTCTTGTCTTCGTTCACTTACTCTTTTCAGTCAAAGCAATACATAACAATGACATTTGTAAAAATCATATTTGTAAAATCTCTGAAATTGAAATGAGTAATTCCAACGTTTTCTGCATTCGGCAATCTAGTCCTAACTTAGGGGAAATTAATCAAAAATCAACGTAGCAGGGATTCATGCACAAAAGGACATCTCTTGTTTTAAAAAACTTTGTTCAATCATATGAGTCATGAAACAGTCATCAAGACGCATGATAAACAAACAAGGTCGTTAGCATAACGATTAGACTAAAAGCAATTACCGGCGTAGTGTAATAATTTTGTTTTTACACCATGCTGGGTGTGTGTGTGTGTCCGTGGGCGAAGTCGTGCTGCTGGAAATATGAGTTTAACAGCCTCAGTAAGGTGTTTCCAATACTCAGACGACCAGCATGCCAGCCAGCCAGCTATTCTGTCTCTCCACTTCTCTGAAGAGGGAGAGAGGGTTAGAAAAGGTCGACCCCCAAAATTGTACATCCCGACTTACCTCACCTACGGTGGTGGTGGTGTGTAGCCGGCGGTAAGTTTACTAATACCGAAAAACCAATCCAAGAAACAAGTTCATACAGACCACGGGTGACTGGCCGGCCTCAAGCAGTTGTGTCCCCTAGGGCTAACTGCGGTGACGCAACACTAACTCTATTTCTGTTTCAGATACCAGAATAACCAATCAATTAACACGGTGTGGGCAGCTGGGAAGTAAGAGAACACTAAGCCCTCCTGAGCATCATTTTTCTTTACTCATATCACATCACATCTTATTTTCATACTACAGTCAATACTATTCTGCAGGCTAGTGAGTCGTTTTCACTTCACTCTGTGACCCCAAAAAAATCATAGCCTGTTTATGAAATGTCAAACTGTTATTTTTACTTTTTTTGGATAAAGCTAGTTTAGACAACTGATGATCTGTCAGATTACTGTTGCATGTCAAGTAGTTGTCATGATACTCATGACTATGCAGATAAGTCTTCAAGCAAAATTTTTGCATGTGCGGGTTGAAAAATGCCTTCCAGTTATATGTGCATTTTCTGTTTCACCTCTCTCTCGTACATCATCTCACAGGAAGCCGTGATCTCCTTTACCCCCTGTATAAATCAACTGTTATATAGGTGAGTGGTGATAGATGGAATCCGTGGGTGGGTGATTATTACTTCTCATACCTACGGAATTAACGTAAAATTTTGAAGGCTTATGCCCTTGTAATGTTGATATACACATGGGAATCCTGACCCGTCTTAACGGAAAATGTGATGACTCTTTAGTGTTCGATCATCACTGTCTTCATACAAACGCTTGCTTTCAGTGGTGACGCAAAATATTCCTAACCTGTGATGGCTCATTTTTACTACCTATAAAGCCATCTGATTACATTGATATGATTATTGGCAAATGATTGTTATCGAAAAGTCATCCATTTAATTGATACTATTGCTTTGTATCATATCAGATAAACTTACCTAATGTGGAATTACATTCAACCATAGTGCCCAAGTTCTACTGTGTAAATTTTCTAGGTGCTCGATCTCATCTTGAAACAATTGTTTTAGTAGCTTGGATATGTTTTGTGTGATAGTGAATAGGCAAGAGGTTCTGTTTTGTATGGTCGAAATGATTACCTATTTATATCATTTCTTAAGCCTAGCATATATCTGGTATTGAGCATACTACGCCAACTCTGGCACCGCTGCGACGACGTTAGCCTGTCTGTCAGTGGTTGGACATACAATGCTTCGATGCCGACTGTCTTGCTTTACGCCTGTGAAACCTAGCTTCTTCGAGCTGAGGATATGCTGCGACTCTGCGTATTCTATCATCACTTTCTCCACAGGATTGCTTGCGTTTGATGCTATTATCTCGTGGGTAATTCTGAGATCTGGCGGCGTGTGTTTTGTCACAGTGGAGATCACCGGTCATTGAGTGTCGTCATCTGGAAACACCGACCTTGGTGCCTTGGACATGTGCTACGAATGTCATCCTAAAGGCTCGGATCGGTGGCTTACTCGTTACGTTATCGAATATGGCCAAGAATTATGGTCAGTGGCGAACGTGATGCAATTTCCTTCTTTCTTCCCTTCTCTGCGATAGTTGACGAATGATATGTGAAGTTGTTAAATATGACTGTTTTCCTTCCAGATGAAGTTCTTTGTCTGTACTCTACTCATATTTTTACTTTTAATCTATGTTGTTTTATTGTTGTGTGGTTCATCTTCTTGTTTCCGTACTGTACTAAGTTTTCCGTGTTTAAATAATAGTAATAATAATACTGCGCCATCACCTTCCTCACCGAGTAATGTTGAAGAACATAGGAAGAGTCACAGGTTGTCTAGTCAAAACCTGCAATCAATCAATCAATTAGTTAGGCCTGTAAGTGTTGGTTTCAACCATGAGGTGAGATGTAGACGTTTAGGCTGAGAACCTCGAGACACTAACCAATGACTGGAGATTATTGGTGATATGGCTCAAACATCATTTTCAATGGCTTAGTTACTTCCATCTTTTCTGAACTAATACATTCAACAGATTCTCTTTATTGTCTCTGTGATTAGTTTCCCTTTAGTACATTTCACATTTCTAACAACCAGCATAAATGCGAGAAATCTGAAAGAGGCAACCTGCTTTTCCTACCTGGGAAGCATCATTGCAACTACAGAAGGATTCTCATTTTTAACTCCAATGTGAAGTTAGTGCTACTATATACGAATCAGAGACTTGGTGCCGCTTCGCGCCACGAAGATACTTTGAACAAACCACACACCATCAACATCTGTTTTCGCTCAAGATCAGACGGTCAACCAGAAAAGATCATCAACAGGGATCATTCAGAGCGAACGAACCAGGAACTAATTGTGCAACAAATATTCTGGAAGAAATGGATGTGGATTGTATTGGCCATAATCTAAGAGAAGCACCAGGTAAGTTACATCACGCTCCAGACTCTCTCTGTCTCGAGTGACACCCCAATGGGAGGGATGTGGCGAGTTAGGTAGTTTTCAGTGCGAGGGTGGCATGGAGGTGGATTACGTGATATGAAGAGGAGATGAAAACATGTGGGCAGACGTGCAGCGAGGTGTAAACGTTGGCAGAGAACCTGAACGCTATGGAGACGTGAATTTGAAGCCTTATGTTCCTCTAGGAACCAAAGGAAACAATAACATTCACATTAAAGATATTTCTTTTGAATTCCTTGTCTACAATTGTGGGCTACATATGTTGTAGCAACTTGAAGTGCTGAGTTTTTGTGCGAAATCCTATGTTGAAGACTCAATTAGTCAGTTGTGTTGGCTCTTTTGTAAATAAAGAACTTCCTAATTTCAAAAATTGTCATCGTGAATTAAGTAGATCTAAATTTTTTTTTATTGGAATTTGAATTGATTCTGTGCGTGTATTACTTAACGTACCCACTTTTTTAAAAATTATATTACAGAGAGCCGTCGTTGTCAAACCGTTTCAATATTTGCTTCACCCATATGATTATTCTCCATGGACCTAGGATACATGCAGAGACCTCGTGTCGTATTTAGAAATAATATTCTAAATACTCGTGCCCAGCTGTTGGAAGTGTTCTTTCGACGAGTTGCTTTTGGTTATACTAGCGTGTTTTCGGTAACTGCTCGTCGTCTCATTGAATTTGTATTTCTGGTTCAGGTAATTGTTCAAACAATTTTAATGTTTCGTTATACATATGTACAGATTCATATTACATTATGTAACTTCTTGAGAAAAATGTAGATTAGCCACAATGGTTAGATATTAGTCAGTCAGATAAAGACAGAGAGAGAGAGAGAGAGAGAGAGAGAGAGAGAAAGAGAACTCAAACCCAGTGGTTAAAAGAAGTTGTTGACTCTACTCGAAACATCTGATTGATAAAACGTGACCAAACTAACTTTGATGTTTGACATCTTAATAATTATTTTCTAGCTTTTTTATTTTACTGATTCGTGGCGGTGACTCACGAGATTGTATGTAGATGCAGGTGTAGTCATAAGTAACTAAACAGAGATTTCATTAAAACAAAAGGAATCTAAGCATAGCAATTGCTAGGGCAGCGTGATAAGATATTCTAGTTTGCACATTTGTGATAAAGAGATTCACTTATTATTATTATTCCTTTGGGTTCCGAGTGGAACTTGTGGCAGGCTATTACAATGCATCTCCATTTTTCCCTATCTTCTGCAAGACTCTTCAACTTGTACCATCGTTGCCCACAATCCTTTATCTCCCCCCCTTAATATCTCCTCGATGTCACGCTCACTCCGACGACCCACTCGTCGCTTCCCATTTGGATTCCATTCGATCGATGAATGGCTCGAATTCCGTGTGAAGTCATTCGACGGTCTCCTCAATGCATACTTGGCCAGTTCATCTCCATTTTCTCCTACATTACATATTTGTTGAGTGATCGACTCTCGTCTGTTGGTCTGTTCGACTACTGAGTTTCTTTTTCCTAATTCTTTCTGGCCCGCCAGCTGGCCATTTCATCTTCAGTATGGATCCAGCCGAAAAAGTGACAGCTGTGCATAAAAGTCTGAAACTGACTGTTGCAAATCCTTATCGTGACACACATGCAGTGCAAGTTTCTGACCCGTATAGAAGCACTGACTGACTGACTGACCGACCGACTTGACATTGGTGTTGAACAGTATCCGAATCTTGTTCCTTGTGTTAAGGTGGAGTGAAACAGAAGATTTCCAAACTGGTTTCAGATTGATGAAAGCGTGAGTACTTTGCTTGTCTTTCCGATTCTGACTCGCTGGCTGGTTGGCTGGCTAGCTAGCTAGCTAGCTAGCTAGCTAGCTTTGACAGCTTCATCCGTTCCGACCACCTGTATTCGAAGCAATGCTGGCTTCCTAAATAAGTGAAGGAAGCAACCTCTGTTAAATCTCTCCTGTTGAATGTCACTGGTGTTGTTTCTTGTCACTGCTGGTTGGGTATCTTCATCACCTCCGTCTACACCTTCTCTATGTTCACCTGCAGGCAGTCCTGACTTCTCTACCATCTTATTAGCCACTTTGTTGGTTTTCGGCTGGAAGTCCTCGAGTTTGTGTGACATTAAACATATGTTATCACTTGAGAAATCCAGATCTTCTAGAGTCTTATCGATCAGTGCAGCGTGTTCCTTCCTGTCTTTTCACTCACTCACTCACTCACTCACTCACTCACTCACTCACTCACTCACTCACTCACTCACTCACTCACTCACTCACTCACTCACTCACTCACTCACTCACTCACTCACTCACTCACTCACACTCCCAGTGCACAGTCTGAGGCGAGGACGAAAATACACTCAACCGAATAAAATACTCTAGAAGACCTGTATTTCGTGACTGGGAATGTGATTTGTTTCATGTCACTCAGAAATACTTGAAGAGACATATACAAGCAAAAATCAACAAGTTGGAAGAAGAGACTTGACAAGACCACAGAAATGAACACACACAGAGATGACAAAGGTGATGATGAAGGTACCTGTCCGACACAAAAACCAATCACTACTGGGCAGCATCAATGCGTAAATAACATTTTCACAATGCTAGTCAAGATGTGGAAAAGAAGAATACGCATTCAGTATTCTAAAGCTGATATGGTGTGGCTATCCGAATTTTTAGCACTAATGTCAAATTTGGTACTTCTGTATGATTCAGAGCATTGAAGTACGTGTGTGTCACCATAAGCGTTTTTAACGATCACCAAAACTTTCACTAACAGTCTACCCTCAGTCGATACTGACCAGAACAAATTAGCAACAAGTCACTCTGGAAGTCAACGCATCAACTAAGAACCGTACTATTCAACAAGTCCAGAAGGAAATGCAGATGGATTAGATATACACTGAGGAGATGGCTGAGTGACACCACATACCACCTCTCCCTCTCCCGCCCTCCCCTCCACCTCCCCGAGTGAAATCGTAGTAGGAAGCGCCAAGTTTTGCGGCCGAGGATGATTTCGAGATGATGTGGGTAGGAAATGAAAGCTCATGGACATTGGCGGATCGATGCAGTTAAAAGGCATGCTGTGGTGTGTGTGTGTGTGCTACGGACAGGATTTATAAGTATTATATGCATAAAGATTGATAAAAAGCAATCAAAACTGAAATTAACATTTTTCAGTCAATGGTTGCTGAGTTAGAAGTGTGTTCTTTTTTCCTGAAATCCGGATGTAGTTTACGTTGTCGACATAAAATGTTATTGTAAAAAATAATCAGCCGCCCCCTGTTGAATCCCACCTTGCCTAATTTAGCATGGGCAACACGATAGTATCAATTAGCTGTGTGATATAGGAAAGCTTTGTTTCAAGTAAATGCGTTATGAATAGTATGTTAGAAGCTTAATAACTGCTTGTAAGTCACATATTGATGGTGTCATGAACTGACATCGGTTGGCTAGACAACCATTGGAAAACCTGCAGGTAGTAATGCGTCGTTAGAATAGCGGTTAGGACGCTCGCCGACCATGCACATGGTCCGAGTTTCGATCCCCGGCCGACGCACTCCTTTACCTCGCTAAGCCAGAAATAATGCTGGTAAAGAGGAAAGGTTGGGCCAGATGAGGCTAGCAAACTCGTCCTGTAAAAATTGACACTGCTACAGAAACTTCGAGCCACTAGCTTGAAGCCTTATTGTTCCACTGGGGAATGTGAAGGAAAAAAAGTACTGCCAGACAGCTGTCCCCTCCGTCCTACTGCTTGGAATTGGTTCTTCAACAGCACGCACCAATCTGACTGCGGTTCGAACCCAGACCACCTTCTGGTTACAAGGCAGACGGGGTTGTAGACCATTAAGCAGCCACCCACTCACTGCGAACCCGATCCAATGGCTAGCCAACCAGACTATGAATTCTAACTTCTGCTAATTCGCGATATCAGTGCTCATGATGAAATCATTCAACCAATCAAACAAAATCCCTAACAAAACGAATACTTGGAAAAGAGACGTATTGATATTTTTGAGGATTGTTCACTTCCGTCTATATAATTGCTTTCCGCCTTGTTAGTGTTTTTTCTTTTCTTTTCTTTTCGCAGGCTGTTTTCGTTCTTGTCATTTTCATACACTTACATATTACTTTTGTGAAATCGCCTATAACATGTTTGGATAGTTTACGTAGTGAATTCAGCAGTGGCTTGCACAAATCTGCTTCAGATTCATCAATCAAATCGGAGAAGACAACAAATACAACTGCCTTTTCAGAAAATAGTACATCTAAACCTTCTTGGTCATGGCTTCGATATGGTATATTACGCATTGAAGTTATTCCATCGCCAGATCCCTCCTATTCATTGGCAGACTCATATGCCAAGGAGTTTTACGGCACTGACACTGAGTACACATTAGAAGTGGATAGTGAACATTTTCCAACGCATAATAATAATAATGAGAATGGTGCTGACGCTGATAATCATTCAGATAATTCCATGCTGATGCTTCCTGTACTGAAAAATTCTCAGCATTCTGTTCTATCTTTATCTTTTGGTGGAAAAAATCTGCTCAATGAGATACAGAATTTTTGGCATTCTCTTCTGACCTTTCCATCTCTTGCCTTTACGCATATTAAAAAAGATGTCAGTTATATTTTCAACCAGATATATATTGATGAAGAGGATGACAGTGATTGGTCGTCAACGTCAATGGAGCATCATGCGCCTTCTTCTTCTTCTTCTTCATACAATGATAGGATTCATTCATTTCAGATTAAAATTGGACGATTTCTGTCCATTTTTAAACGTATAGTTGTTGATGTCTTTGTGTCTGTTCATCAGTTTTTTCGTGATATTCTAACGCGTATATACACTTCACCAAGTTCTGGTAAGGAAACATCATTTTTGTCTATATATATATATATATATATATATATATATATATATATATATATATTCATTTATATAATGTACTGATGTTAATGAGTTTAGTGTTTTTGTTTTTCCCCCACAGTCAGTTTCATTTACGTGGTTAAGAATATGAAGGTAGACCTCCATACTTCTCCATATTCTATCTGTCGCCCGTATGAAGTAGTGGTTTAATGGGTATAATGAGTAATATTGAGGTTAGGCTTCGTTTGAGTGTCAGGTAAGGAGTAAGAGGGAGGGGGAAGTCAAAATAGACGAGACTGTGAAGTTACATCGATTGAGAGGGATGGTTAAGACATTTGTTACGCATGCATGTCTAGCCATCTAGCGCCTTCCTCGACATTGGGTAATAGTGCAACATCAAAAGTCAAGGGTCAGGCAACAGATCGTTTATTTAAGGAAATCAACACATATTTATAGATTTTCATGTACATTATAATAGATTATTGTTAGCAGAAAAACACCACAGTCTTCTGATTGTTGGTTGTTTCTCACAGAAAGTTAACCTTGCTTCTCTTTGTGACTGTTTCTTGAATGTCAGATCATCATTTATGTGTTTAACTGTATCCGCCTACGCAAAGCTTTTGTTCTCATTTTTCTCACGACCAATATTGGGGACATAAACATTGACGTAAATTTTGCTGTCCACGAATTTTGACTAACAGCTAGCTCTCACCACAATAGTAGCTGACTGACTGACATAGGATGCATCAGGTTAGAAAAGAGTTAGCCAGTTGTTGTGGTTGTCAGACGAAAACATGGCCTCATCTGTCAATAAAATCCACAACAGTTGGTTTAAGCCAGCCAGTCAGCCAGCTACTTAGGGGAGGTGTAGACTTCCTGAATGACTGGGTGGGGTCTTCGGAACAGTAGAAAGCAATGAAGACTGTTCTCGGTAATGGCTGTGTGGCTGAGATACATCCATTCCTCGTGACTCATAGTATCCGATAAAACAGTATTGTTCTTCCATATTAGTGTTATTCTTTTTGACTGATGTCTGAGTTTATTATCTGTGTGTGTGTGTTTAGTGAAGTGTGACGACTCGAACTGCTGCACATCAGTGCAAAGTTGTACATTGAAACCAGCCAGGGAGTCAGTCAGTTAGTCATTCTTCGAATTCGTGGATATTTAAAAGAAATGTATACTTTAGTTACACTTTCGATACATACAAAATATCCGCGTTGTATACGTAATCACATTCAAAAAATTAAAATAATAAATTTAAATATCCCCCAGAGTTTAATTAGAATAAAGACAATTTTAAGCGGACAATATTGTTGTTTCAATAGCAGCTTTTTCCTCAGGCTCTACTACAGTTATAAGTCCATGATAAATAAATATTAGAATATACAAACAGGCATCATTGAAGGCATGTGAAAATTGTATATCACAAAACTGTCTGTATTGGTGTACTTGCATATAAAAAATGGAGTGACATGGAGTAGTGTAACAGCACAAGGTAAGGCATGCATGCCAAGGTATATTTTCAAATGACCAAACAATAATAATAATAATAATTACTTGCTTTATTCCAAAACAGTACTCGTGATACAGAATGGAATTCTCAGCATTTTACTACAGTATTGCATTCAGTTAGTACATTAACAATAAATAAAATTCTACATAGATTAAGGGTATTCTCAGTTAGTTTTGACAACGACATATTGGCATATCGGTCGGTAGCAAAGCCAAAATTGAACAGTGTTTGAAGGTGTTAGATAAGTAGATGCTAGCATATTTGCTGGCGCAAGCGGTAACAAAAAGGTCGAGATATACAGAGTGTGAAAGAACGAAGAAGAAGGTTTCAAATAGAGTTTGTAAGGAAGAAAGAAACAAAGCAGCACATAACAGAAAAAAGAGAGACAGAAAAGGAAAAGAAAGGAAGAAAAACGTTGTACCTATAAATGATATGAGTTGGAAAGACGAGATCCAGTTGTTCTACTGACTATTTAATAAGTTGTAGGTACCACGCCTAGACGACTTGATCGTTGGAAAGAGCATTACGAGGAGCAGTTTAATTTGCCCACAGCCACGCTCAACCTTCCGAGCATCCAACACCTCCCTGAATGGGATACAGACACAGGTCCTCCGTCACTAACTGAGGTTACTAAGGCTGTCACCAATCTGAAACTAGGCAAAGCAGCGGGACCTGATGGAATGACGCCAGAGGTATTTAAGTACGGTGGAGACAGCTTACTGTCTGCACTAACTGAGGTTCTGGGCAGCGTCTCGGAATCAGAAGAAGTCCCATCGGGTTGGTGTAAGTCACTGATTATCCCCATATACAAGAAGGGAGACAAGTCTTCCTGTGATAATCACAGAGGGATTAGCTTGACTAATATAGTATCTAAAGTCTTAGGCTCAATAATCATGCGTAGACTGAGTGGTCCTCAGGAGGCTCAAACACGAGAGAGCCAGGAAGGCTTTAGACCAGGAAGAGGGTGTATTGATCATATCTTCACACTCCGACAGATTCTAGAACATAGCCATTCCTACCGGCGTCCAACAGTCATCATATTTCTTGACCTAAAGGCAGCATTCGACTCTGTCGATCGGGAAGTTCTCTGGCGCTGCTTGGCTGTAAAGGGAATTCCAAGAAAATATATTGCACTGATTAAGGAACTCTACTCGTACTCATACAGCCAGGTGAGGGCTTACGGCGAGCTGTCATCTGAACTGATGACGACCAGTGGTGTCCGTCAAGGATGCCCATTATCTCCTTTTCTATTCAACTTCATCATAGATGTGTTAATGGACTTAACCCTAGGTGACTTCAGTGACTCAGGAATTGACTTGCTACCGGGGAATAATCTCGTTGACTTGGAATATGCAGACGATATAGTCCTTCTAGGCGAAGACGCTGACGAAATGCAGAGTCTTCTAAACACCTTGAGCCGCAATCTACGAATGTTTGGCATGCGATTCGCTCCCGCCAAATGCAACATGATGTTACAGGACTGGACTACATCGACGCCTAGTTTAAAAATAGGAAGTGAAGTGGTAGAGCACGTTGACCGCTTCACTTATTTGGGAAGTACCATCAGCCCCAACGGGTTGATCTCTGACGAAATCTCAGCACGAATACAAGGGGCTCGTTTCGCATTTGTTAGTTTACGCCGACTCTGGCGTAGACGAGATGTTCGACTATCGACCAAAGGGCGGGTGTACTGCTCATCAGTCCGCTCCGTCCTCCTTTATGGATGTGAGACCTGGCCACTGAGAGTGGAAGACATGAAAAGACTAGCTGTCTTTGATCATAGGTGCCTGCGCTCTATTTCCCGTGTAAAGTGGCATAATAAGGTGAGCAACATGGAGGTTAGGCGTCGAGTTCTAGGTAAGGAGGGGAAATCAATCGACGAAGTCGTGAAGCTACATCGACTGAGATGGTTAGGACATGTGTTACGTATGCCAAGCCATCGCCTCCCTCGACGAGCAATGTTAGCGGATATAGGGTCAGGCTGGAAAAAAGCTAGCGGCGGTCAAACAAAAACTTGGCATCAGTCAATGAAATCCACAACAGTTGGTCTAAGCCACGTAGAAAGGTGTAGACTTCCAGGCTGGGGTCCTCGGGACGGTAAAAATCTATGGTTGGAAACAATTGGTGACATGGCTCAAAATCGTTCTCAGTGGCGCAGATGCATCCACTCCCTGTGACTTATGATCTTCAATGAAACTGTTTTGTATTTCTTTATTACTCCTTTGTCTCACACCTCTGCTCACTGTTTCTATTATGCTTTTCTTGTACTTTCTTCTCTTGCTTCGCGTGCTACACGGAATGTGGCGACTCGAACTTCCGCACATTTGTGCAAAGTTCTATGTCGAAAACAGACAGATCACGCCTAATGCTTTCTTCTTTATCGCACAGAACACGAGCTAAGTAGGGTATGGTTGAGTTTTTGTACTTGGTAGTGCGAGCATATAGTTTTCTATATAGGCTTCTGGCTTTGCCTGACCAGATACAAGGGGAGAGTTGTGAATGAAGAGGGTGGTGTGAGTTATGCAAAATAGAATTGATTTAGCCCATTTTTCCCATGAGTCCATGTGCCTGTCAACCAGAATATTAACAAGCTGGTTGGTTAAGTGGCACGTTGCTTACCCTGCTGACAACCGTTAACATCCTACGTAATAAGATATAGTCTTTCTTCAGTAGCCAGCCCTGGAAAAACTAAGGGGGGACAATAGAGAATAATAGGCAGGAAGGATGCAAGAGTTAATGAATCGTAAGGGTTGGGATGAGTTATACCAGAATGTCTTAACTCCTTGGTGTAGAAGGTAAGACGGAATATTCTCCTAGAAATCATCAAGATATGAGACGACGAGGAAAGATCAGCAGATAGAATGACGCCTAGGTATATAATTTCCGACTTGGTTTCTATTTCAGCGCCATCTATGTTGCACACCTTGTGAGTGCTAACCATCAGTTTGTTTAGGTCAGATTTATGCGTAAAGGTGAAATTGGCATTTAGAGGGGTTTAAGGTTAGACCGTTTCCCCCTTGGACCACTACTGGCTAATTTCTGATAAAAAGCCATTTATATATATGCAGTTTATATGCTTTAACTACTCACTGAGCGTTGTTATTTTGGTTTACATTAAACGACATGAAATAGTATTCTGTTACTAATGCACTATTGAACTGTAGGAATAGTATATGTAAGAGTAATATTCTGTTGGACACGTTGTCTCCATCACACCACCACAATAGTTCGTTATTTACTGTTGTCAAATGAGCGTATATGTGAAAAAAATGTACAGTCATTTGGAACATAAGATGAAGTGTGAATGTAGACAAGTGGATGACGTACTAATATATATTTGTGGTCAACTGAATATAAGTTTCATTAGGGTTGAGGTAGGGTGTGGTGCGGGGCGAGATAGGTGAGTTATATATTCAATAGTTGCAAGTATCATGATTACCACAAAATATATACCACAAAACAAATACCAACTGTAGAACCAT